GCGCGCGCGCGGCCCGAAAGCGGCGCGCGCGCTCCGAGGGGTGACTTGGCCGCGTCTGATTGGTCGGCTTGGTGACGTCACCGCGGGACGGGGTGGGTGGGATGGTTTGGCGCGTGGATCGCGCGTCGGCGCGGCTGGTTACGTCATCGCGCGGGCACGCCGTAGATGTGACGTCGTGTCGCGCCTCTGCTCAAGACGGAAGCGCGTGGCGTCATCGCGGGCGTTTGACAAATGACGTCATCGCCAAACAACGGCCGGGTGACATTTTTCGTGGTGGTGCCGTTTTTTTTATTACACGCTTTTTAAATCCTTTATATTAAGTTCACTTGCTTGCTTGCTTGCGCGCTTACGACCGTGCAAATCTTTCGGTCGTTTTTAAATCCTTCATATTAAGTTCACTTGCTTGCTTGCTTGCGCGCTTACGACCGTGCAAATGTTTCGGTCGTTTTGAAATCCTTTATATTAAGTTCACTTGCTTGCTTGCTTGCGCGCTTACGACCGTGCAAATCTTTCGGTCGTTTTTTTAACCCACTCCAATCGAGCTGACATTTTGCACACAGACTCGTTGTGCGTGACAATTTATTTTCGTGAAACTTTTTTTCCAAAATTTTACACTTTTAGGAAAAAATAAATTATATTTAATTACCAATTGCTTAATGGTGGCAGGCAATCATCTGACCCATAGGTGGCAGCCATCTCAAGCCAGAGGACGAGAGGACTCTAGCCGCCACGCATATAAAGGATTTAAAAACTTTGTTTTTAAATCCTTTATATTAAGTTCACTTGCTTGCTTGCGCGCTTACGACCGTGTAAAAATAATATATATTTTTAAACATTCTTTTTTCATGTTATGTTTCGGCTTGGGTCTAATTGTCCACGCTCAACTGACCTTGGCTGTAATTGGCCACGGTTCCTTACGTTATGCCAAGCTTCGGGGCCACTTCCTGGAGTCGTGGAGTTCTTCCATTGCTAGTAGATTTCATTAAAGCGTGTTTTAAAAAAATAAGTTGTTTTAAACATTACTTATTACGGTGATAAACTCACCAGCCACATGACAATACTGGTAGGAACCTCCTGGTGACACCAGCCAAGAGGGGATTATTGTGTCCGTCCGTCCGTCCGTCGTGCAGGGAGGGGCTGGGTGGGGAGGGGTGGGGGTGGGAGGGGTGGGGCTGGGCTGGGTGGGGAGGGGCTGGGTGGGGGGTGGGAGGGGTGGGGCTGGGAGGGGAGGGGCTGGTCACCCCGTGGTGCCCTTATAAAACTCAACGTTTAACCTACTCACACCGGCTTGTGCCCGCCCTCACAGTCGGGCATATTTGCGGAATACACCACGCCACCGTTGATCCTGGCCATTGACCGAGCAACCCAACGTTCCTACCAGCTCCCTCCGCAGGAATGTGTTTAGAGAGGACGTCGACCGTAAAGCACGTTTGACTCGTCGCCTCTGATACGGAGCCACCGCTAACACAGCTGCCGAGAAGAATGGGGGTCATGAGCAATGACCCCCATCGTAACCATGATCCCGCATCACGGTGACTGTCGCCACTGGAGACGTTTCGTACCGCCACGGCCACCGAAACCAGTCACCACCAAGGCAGTGATGCCAGCCATCACCACGAGATGATGCTCATTGGCGCCGGCGTGAATAGATACAACAAAACCAAGCAATATCCATCACAGTATAAAAAAATGTTTTTAACACATCCTCTCAGCCAGTGAAATATACGCTCAGGAATTTTTATTTTTTTGTTGAGACTCCCATGGCTGAAAGTGGCTTATCCCGAGTGTTGTGCACCGATTCGTCATGGATGGAGATCGTGTTGCATACCTGTCAACCCACATTCTTGTACAGGGAAAATTTAGTTTTCAGGTCCATCCGGCGTAAAGCCGTTTCAAATACGGGCAAAACATGTTTTTGTGTTTCTCCCTTATGGAAGGGACTTTTGTAGGATGAACGTTGAGATTTATAAGGAGCACGGGGTAACCAATAAGGTCTGACTTGGTCTGTAATAAGGTAGGGCACTGACAAGGGGGTTGACAGGCATGGTGTGTTGATTGCTGTATCTCGCGATGCAATCAATAGATACATTTAATTACACCCGTGTAAATTTCGATTTAAAGCTTTCGTGACTGCAGGGATTCATATTCTTGGTTCTATCGGTGAAGTCACGTAAAATGGAAATAATACAATTAATTTGATTTTATAATTTTCTTTTATAAAAATACTTTTATTTTATAAATTAATTTTATTAAAATACTTTTATTTTATAGTTTTATTTTATAAAAATACTTATTTATTATTTCCCTTCTACGTGACTTCACCGACAGAACCAAGAATATCCACGCGTGTATTTACCGGCGCGTTGTGGCACATGAGCCCTACGGCCACCGGAGGGCGCAATATCCATCACATTCAAACATTTTAATTCCCCCCACCCCCAAAACTGAATGAGGACATACTCTTTGGTTCTTTCGGTAAGGCCACGTTGAAAGAAAATAAAATAAATATTTTATTTATTTAATTTATTTATATAAAAGAAAAAATGTATTTATTTAATTTATTTTCTTTCTCCGTGACTTTACCGAAAGAAGCAAAGAGTAATTCCTGCAGTCACGAAAGCTCCGAATCAAGTTTAAATGAGGACAGTTTATCATGTGGCTAACGGGGGCGAATCATGACAGGCCAACTGGTAGTGACGGGGCAGCATCTGAATTATTACAGGCGACGCAAATTAATATAAAAGTCTAAGGGATCTCACCTCATCTCGTGTTTACAGCATTGAGCCAGTGGCGTGAAAGTTCCGAATTCCTACGGCAGGAGCGAGCCCCGATTCATAGGACAACCACGGCTGATGAAGGGTCGTGGAATCGAACTCGCAAACTTCCGAACGTGAGCCGCTCGGTTGACCGCGAGCCGCTCGGTTGACCGCGAGCCGCTCGGTTGACCGCTGAAGCCGTCTGGCCGGTTTTACACACAGCAGTAAATAAATGTCCTCTCTCCAGCGACTCGTAATTTGCTTGGCCATGGGGACGTGGCTGTGTGGCTCAGAGGCATCCTTCACTTAAATCCAACCGAGAGCCCATTTGTGGCACGGCTCGTGGAAGCCGTCTCAAAGCCATTGTGCTTAACTTGAGCCAGCTCCGAGCATCGGTCCCAGCCATGCTCAGGATTTATGTGGGCCGAGCACACTCATGCGTCTTTGACAGCAATTCTGAGCGACTTAAGCCTGAACTGAGCTGCAACGCAAGACCGTGGGCCTGAGAGTCTCTTAATTTAAAGGGAAGCATGGAGGTCACAAAAACATGCGCCAGACCGGGGACATTTGATGGTGCAGCAGCATACACCCCAGGCGCTGACGTGAACCTCAGTCAGCTTAGTTCATTTCCACTCAGCAGTGGATGGAGAATGACCACCAACACCCTCGTGATTATGACACTGAAGGCCACACCAAAGTATCGGCGACATGTCTCCCACCGGGCAAGGCGATACCGAGCACAACCTCGGGCCGCGGCTATTCTGGGCCCGGGAGAGATTTACGATGATGGCTTGGACCCATTGCAGAGGACCACGCGAGTGGGGACAGCACATACTCTCTCCGCAGGGGCATGACACAGCAGAGTAGGGTGGTTAAAAAAAAAAATTTTGCAAATACCGGTAACCGAATGAAAAAAACCGGTTACCAAGTGAAGCGAAGGGAGGCTGCCGTGGTGTAATGGTTGGTACACAACTTTTGGAAAATCCCCGTCTCCTTGTAGGTCTTGCACAGGAGCTGTTTTTCACCAGCCATTATCAATCCACTACTGGATGGCCTCCCCAAGCCGTTGTCTTGCAATATAACAATCCATCCAACTGCTGCACCAGAGCGGACTTCATTGCTACATCTGTGGCCAATGTCCTCATGCACGTTTCCTCTTTTTTCTGCCACTCCCATCATATCTCGACCACCAGCCATCATCCTGAGTGGCAACATGTCCCACCCACTTGCCCTTAATGTTTCCAGCTTGCTTTTGTTCTCTAATCCACGTTCCTGTCCCAATGTAATTCCACGCACGTGTACCTACATATTTATTCTACCTGAAATTGTTGTATTTTGAAGTTTTAATCCTGGCGGTGTTGACTATTGTGCGGTGTTAAAGCGCCTTGAAGTAATCCCATGTTTAAGCCAATACACTTTAATCCTGAAGCCATCATGGGGCAAAACGTGGCGTGAGCCCCCGCGGTACGGGTAACGGGGGCCCATGCGGTTTTAGCAGCTGTGCCACTGCTGCATTCCTTGCCAAGGAAGGCGATTGAATGTCGCTGGTGTCTGGCAGCAATGGCGAGGTTTGTCCTCGTTAGTGCAGCGGCAAGGACTGTGCACAACAAGTGGTGACTGATCCCACGTGGCACACAAGCACCGGCTACCTACTCATAATTACACAAACCCATTCTCAAGGCACACAAAGATAACGATCCCCAGTATAGCTTTAACAAGCTCTTGGGGGCAAGTGCAAGTAGCATTACGTATATATCCATAAACACGAGCAAACCGACAACCAAGATCTACACTCCCAACAACCGCTATCCACACCTCAAAAGCCACTTGCGCACACATTGCATGCAACATCCACTCATACACAACGCCTACAATGCAATACCCATCCCAGAACCCTCTCTCCAAGAAACCTCCTCGCGCAACCCAAAAACCCTCATCGAACTTTTCCACCAGTTTATCTCCCACTAACATTTATACCCACTCTTCAACAGCCCTACACCCTTAATTCACACTTGAACACTGGAACATCAGCGCATCAGATACACACCAGCACAGCATTACCGTTCACACAACCCCACAGGCACACACCATCCAATCACCTTCACACACACTTCCAATTACGTATCTCAACCTCAAGATCGAACCAGAATATCCTTCTCGCTCGCACCCGCTGGAACTTTGTGCAAGAGGACGTATAGCGCTCTCTAGTGGAGGCTGCACGCACAGAAATTCGCGTGACGACCGTTTGTGAGACTCATCGTTTATTGTTACAGAGGCAATTTAACTGGAGTTGTACAAGACATTCACGCATAACAAGCTAACACAAATTTGCTTGTACAAAAACCATGACTAGTATAAAACATTGAACCTAAAACAAAAGATAGCTAACAAACCCTACGCCTTATTCCCTGTCTTGTTTATGTACACAACATGGACGTTACGGTATTCCAAATCTCTCTCATCTTCTCAGAGATGGCTGGCTTCAGGACGCGTCGTGTTTCTCGCTCGTTTAACTTGTGTCCATCTGGAAAATAAAACAGGGAAGGCCGACATTAATTCAGACACTGCCACTGCCCACCAAAGGCCAAGTTAAGCAGTGCAACACTCGTGCCACGTTCCAGTCGAGGGTCGCTGCCAGACTGCACAAGGGATGACGAAACTGAACGAGGGAATATGCCGAGACTGTCTATTGGGGGAGATGGAGAAAATAAAACCAGCTCGGGAAAGCATTCATCCAGCAGTGGACTTGACCACGGCTGCTGTTAAGTTTCCGAGCCACACGATAACGCAGCAAGATGATTCCAGTGGAGTGGGAGAGGCGCTGGAACACGCTCTCACCTTGGCATTGTAGGCATCGAGTTGAGCGTCCAGCTCTTCAGCCGACAAGTTGGGCCGGCTATCGCGGGCACCCCGCCCTCGGCCCCGTCCGCGGCCCTGTGCACCACCTCGGGCCCCGCGACCCCTCATGCCGCCGCCTACCATGACGCCCCGGCCACGGGCAAACCCGCGGCCCGCGTTAAACGTGCCGCCGCCCTGCAGCCTGCGTGCAGAGAGACGCGCGCGCAAACAGCTCAGCCAGATGTCGTCATTTCACACGCCGCATCTCCGACGCTCAAGACATTGAGTTGTGAGCTCTGAGCCGGTAACAATGTTCACTTATGTATTACAAAACACTCTGAAATGCCACAAGTTAAGTTTGCCCCCAAGGACTCCATTTAACCCACACCATTTCAGTCAGACTTAGGTCATTTTTCTATTGTAAATTTTGGACCATGACAAGAGAATATGCAAGGTGCTTGCCAAGGAATTTAATGGCCTTATGAATGCAAAAGATTATCATAAAATTATACAAGTTTGCCACCGTGTGGATGTGGGTGGCATAAAACTCCAGGTTGGTGGTGCGGTGGGTGGTGCTCACCCAAGGGCCTGCCGTGGCCGAGGGGCATCGATCTGCGACGTCACGAGTTGGATGTTCATCTGTCGGCCTGACAGGAGGACGGAGGACACGGAGCGTTAACCAGCGCACTCGTATGAACCCTGAAATACGTTTTGACAAGTCGTCGCATGCAATCGCGTCAGCTCAGAGACGTCGCACAAGGTGACGGCATCGAAAAAGAGACAAGTCGCAGACACAGCGTACGTTGGTCAAGGTTGATCTGTTTTGCTTAAATTTAGCGCCAATAGCTTAGTGTATTATTGGCTAATTTTGGACAACACTTTAACCCATTTGGCCAGTTTGATAATACACTTTTAAGAACATGACTTGACTTTAACATTTTGTTAACGAGTATCTTTAGCCAGGCGGCGGTGGCGCATGCTGTTAAAACTCCCTTTCCGGGTGCATCGTGGTGCTATACCCTGGCTTGCCAGACGGCGGTACACTATTGCTCCCTTACTCACGTAGGTTTGCTCTAAGTGCTGGGATTTCCTTCCACGTGTACCCAATTGGCAGATTACACGTTTATAGAGGACTGCAGAGCTTGGTAGGGGGGGGGATTTTGCACCGGTTCACCACCTGGCACGTTACTCATTGCTATTAACGAGAGCTACTGTGACATCCAACCCGTCTTTGTGGCCCAAGGGTCTACGCCGGCACTCACCGTCGAGAGGCACGCCGTTGTACTGCTTCATGGCCTTGATGGCGTCGGCGCGGCGCTCAAAGTGGACGTCGGCCGTACCCAGAGAGCGGCCCGAGCGGTCGTAGTGCACCGCCGCCTTGCGCAGCGGCCCAAACTCCGCAAACAGCTCCTACGGGGCCACAGAGCAGCACCCGACACTCAGCCAAGACACCCGCGAGGTGGCCGGGCAGCCCGAGCTCGCACAGCACTTCTCAATCTCCGATCCTCAAGACTCGTCACACTCCATCTGTCCAAGTTTACCAATCTTAAAGCACAAGCTGTAACAAAGGCAGTATCACGCTCAAGGGCAATTGCGTATTTTGCAGGAAATTTTTCAAATTTAGACCACGACACCAGCAAACAAGATTGATTCGCTGCCTCTACAGAGATTGCGTCTATATCTTTTAGACAGAATGTTGCATCGCGAAACCCTGGTGGCCAGCGACAATCTTGAGGATGCGTCGTGCACCGAAGGGCTTGGGAATGGGGCGGTCCAGTACAGGCGGCGGTGGTACCTGGATGTCGGCGTCCGATACTCCGAAGTCGAGGTTGGAGACGAGCAGTTTGCCTCCGCGCTCCTGCACCACCGAGCCGTCAAACATGTCGTGCTGCCAGCGCTCCGCCACCCGCTGCGGCTGTTGCTGCACAAACCAAACGCGAGCACACACAAACGTGGTCACGACGGCGCCTGACTGCCACCATGTCCTCGCCCCTCCTGCGCTGTTCCCACCCGCTGGTGTTGGCCTCCTGCGCTAACAGCTTGTGCGTGCGCCACGCTGCCACGGCGCCAACCTCCAAGCAGCCGGGCGTTGCTCTGTCAAGTCGACGTCTAGTCACTCAAAGTTGATTTTAGAGCTCAATATGTTGAGCTACATACATAGAGTTCCCCTTAACGTTAATGGATGAGATCAAGCCTGTGGCTTCACAGTCTCAAGGGGTCCATTGTGATTTGACTATATATTGGAAACCACAAAAAGGCACAATAAATCCCGTGGCAATAGAAAGATTGGCCAATTCCAATCTCAAGGCAGCGTTTTGCTTAACGTGGGAGGAAACCAGAGGATTGCTGTGCTGCCATCTTGCAGCCCAGCAGGTCTTGAGTTTCACAAATCTTTGTGCGATCCACCAACCCTCGCCTCCAAAGCGCCGGATCACAGGCGTGCAGAGCCACCAGGGGTCTGGTGGATGCGGTGTCCAGCACGTGGATATACAGCGTGGCAGGGCCGGCTGTCGTCAATGAAGACCTCGGGGGTTCAGCTGCTCTTCCATCACGATTCAGGCGCACGGCTCAACAATGAGGATGAACAAGGCGCTTTGCTAAAAAACATCACAACATTTAACTCTACCAGAAGGATCCGATTTCATCGGCATGACGCACGCTTTTTCCTAAGCAGTTTGGTAAACTACAGACATTAACAGCTTGTACTGTGGTAGTAAGTCACGCTGCCACTGTGATATTATACCACCACCGCTGACCACTGTGCTGGATCGGTCACCGTGCGAGCATTGCCGTCAAATGGGAGGCAGCATGCTGCTGCCGCCAATCACCACCGAGGTTGCAGAGAGTGGCAGGCGCAGGCGACATCACGAACGCACCATGACCATGTTTGGTGTTGACAAGCGATTTAAGGGGGTAGGGGTGAGACTTAAACGAATGACGAAAAAAAATTATGCGCAAAGACTAATTGAGAATGGAATAGCCAATTCCTTGAATGCACATTAGTGTATGGGAATTCCATTTTCCATAAGAATATATACGAGCATTCCTGACAATCGTTCTAGGTCGGACACGGATGAAGAATAGGGGGACATGGTTAAGGGATTGTTGTGGGTGAGGCTGTTTAGAGCGATGGGGCTGATAGCGCATTCTAGTTACTGCAGCAGCAATCATTATCAGCAGTCGTCCTCGCTACCACCCCGTTCGCATGAGGCCATCACAACTCCAACACGAGATGCCAAACAAGAGCCACCGCGCGCCAAACACCACACAAACCCGCGGCGTGACCGCGCTCGAGTCAATGTCCAAACCGCGCACGCGACGAACGCCACTCGGGAATTTTCATCAAGTTGCAATCAATCCCGTGTTAAGTAGTCGAGACGCACACCGATCAGGCCTGATCATCTACCCGGGGAGCGGGTGGTTCCTGGGGCCCCGGGCACACACCCGCCGCCTCCACCAGGGCTGCGCTTGCTCTCCATCTCCTCGGCCCCGGCTCTCTCGGTCTCTCCTACGGCGACGGCGGTGACCCAGACTCTTCGTGTTCTTCACGGCTCAGTCCTCACAATCATCATCATCCTCTCTCGGAGTTCGTCGTCTCGCGTTGCACACCCCTCGCGCGGTCCCAGCTCTCACCCAATGAAGAGACTCGCGCAGTTTCACCAAGTCCTCGCAGTGGTTGTCAATACATTTCGGCCGGGGAGAAGCGAACCATCTTATATCAAAGTCACACGCAGCTCGATCTCCCCCCAATCAGCAACTCGCAGCAGGGGGCCGTGTTCGCATCTTCAGTGAAAGCGGCGCTGCTCCTCGACCCGTGACACTAAAATTCGCGTTTCTCATCAACATTTTCATCATCTCCCACGGAAGACGTAGCAGCTAGAATCTCTTTCCTGCGCAGCTCCACTCCTCCGCCTGGCTCCGCGGCCAGAGAAAAAGCCACAGGCCGTCTCTTATCACCTTGGTCTTCAGCAACATCGCTCTATTTCACCATCATGAGCATCAGATGACCAGCATGAGGCGGCTCCTGTCCGACTCGAGGCCGAGGCCTGGGTGTTGGAGAGGGGTGAGGCTCGGATGGGACAATCGCGGCCTTCAATGGGAGGCGGCGGTCTCGCTCCGGGCCAAATCGACACGGCAATGCGCGTGAAGACGGGAGCGTGGCGAGGGTGGCGAGTTGCCGACCCGCTCCCCTGGCCGCGGGGGTGGATTAAACGCAGCGAATTCCCGGCGAGAGCGACGCGGCGGACACACAGAGAGACAGAGAGAGAGAGACACGCGAGACTCGGCGCGACGACACAAAATGGCCCCCGCCGCCGCGCATGGCGAGGCTTGCTCCGGCTCCCCGCGCCGCTTCTCCTACCCGCGTGAACGCTGCTGGGCCCTGCGCGGCGCGGCCTCGCTTGAACACGGCCGTTTGCACGGGGCTTCGAAGGCCGAGCGAGGCGACCCCGAGCCCCACGCCGCCTCCTCCTCCTCGGCCGCCGCGGCCTCCACGCGGGCCGCCTCCTCGGAGCCCGCGCAGGCCGACGCCTGCTCCTCGCCCGCCGCGGCCGCCTCGTCCGCCGCGGCCGCCGATCCCCTTCTGTCGGTTCTGCTTGATGATGTCGTCCAGGGACATGTCGAGTTTGTCAGCCATGGTGGCGCTGCGTTTGTGACGAGGAGACGAAGAGGCTGTTGTTTGTAGACGGGAGGCGCGGAGAGCAGCACGATGCGAAATGGCGGCGCGAGGAGAGAAGGCGGGAGGGAGTGGATGACGTCACTGGCGGATGTGACGTAGCGGAGGGGGGAGGGGCCTTATCTCATTGACGGATGTGACGTAGGGCGTCGCGGAGGTGCCTTCTCTCACAGGCGGATGTGACGTAGTGGCATAACGGAGGGGGAAGGGGCCTTATCTCATTGACGGATGTGACGTGGGGCGTAGCGGAGGGGGGAGGGGCCTCATCTCGCAGGCGGATGTGACGTAGGGGCATTGCGGAGGGGGAGGGGCCTTGACTCACAGGCGGACGTGACGTAGAGACATAGCGGAGGGGGAGGGGCTTTATCTCACAGGCGGATGTAAACGTTGGCAAAGTGCCGTGACGTCAACCGTGTTTTTTACGCGTCCGTTGACGTCATGCACGTCTCATTAAATAGACTGGTGACTTTAACAGATGACACGGGGATAAGGGAACATCCATTTAGTAGTTTTTAGTAAGTTCGCAAAAATCTGTCAAAACTTGACCCCTCGACCCCTCCCTGTACGCACGCGTACGTACACTTGACGCACCTCCCCCGAAACCTATTGAACGGCAGATATTTAATCCACGCATATTAACGTGTCTAAGCAAACAGACCACCGCCGGACTATCCAACTCATTTCAATGCCAATGTAGACAAATTATTATAGAGGCTTCATCCCCCTCCCCCCGTTTCCTATGCCTACGAATATTGTCAGTAGACCCCCGATACGCAAGCGTACACATTTGGGTTAACATCCCCCTCCATGCGTACGAACTAAATGGATGGCTACTCTTTGGTTTTTTCGGTAAAGTCAAATGTATAAAATGTGATTTTATTTATTTTTATTTTTTTACCTACGTGACTTTACCGAAAAAACCAAAGCGTATGAATCCTTGCAGTCACGAAAGCTTCAAATCTAGAATAAATGTATTGGCCCCTAACGGGAAGAAACTGAACACGTTTTTCCAGAGCAGATGCGGCGTGACGAGGAAATAGGACGTGACGTCACGGAGCGCGCGATTTCATTGGCTGGCGAGCTACATCCGGGGTCACAGCGCCCCTCGGCAGCCAATCACGTGGTGACCCCATCCCGCGGGGAGAGGGAGGGGCGGTAGCCCTGGGATTTTTTTTGACCAATCACACGCCGGCTCCGCGTGTCACGTGGTGTGGTTTTTTTTTTAAAGGGACGTGGCACGTGGTGACCCCGTGGGTCACGAGACCCCGGGCAGTAGCGAGCGAGTCCATTTGTTGTTGTAGTTGTTGTTTTATTGTTGTTGTTTATTATTCTCGTTTATTCTTTTGTGTATCGGTCGCTTGCACCGATGGCGAGCGTGGACTTCTGGCTGCTGCAGGCTCGGTGAGTGGCTGTCTTAATCCCAAACTATGATCACTGTTACATTGGTTTTATGGCTTTAGTTTGGTGATTTTGAAGACGTTTTGGTTTAGCCATCCATGTTTGTTTGTTGTAGTACAGAGTTAGCCTGATGACTTTAATCTACATTGTCTTGTGGTTGTTATTGTTTGACTTGCATCCCATTGGGATTTTTGCACACAGCGTTGAAATATTTGGTGTTTTTTCTGGAAGATTGCTGTTTTTTCCAGGATTTTTCTGTTGCGTGTAATTACTTTAAGATGTTTCTTGTTCATGTTTTTGTTTTGTTGCGGTTGCACCCGAGTCAAGAGCCGCATGGCTCACAGGGTCATACCTAACCAATGAAACTGAAAACTGCTGACAATAGCCGGGCAGTGTTGGCTCACTGCTGCTGTTGCTACAATTAACGAAGCGGGCAGCAGTTTCGCCTTCTTCCCCGTGTTGTGTGCCCCTTCTTGGGGTACACGGCTGACGAAGAGCATCGTTTGTTCAACACGAGCCAAACCTCTGAACCGCGGTGTCGGCATTCGGTATCTCATTGGCAGACTCAGGCTTGCTCGACTCAATGCTGGTGAACGGGTTAGTTTGTGTTGTGTATCGATGGCCCATGTCCTCCTACACAGCGGGTCATTGTCCCTGCCATCTCGCAAGCTCGTCAGTGTTCACAGCGAAAGCCTGACTTGCTGACGAGACAATGAAGGCCGAAGCCTGGCTCAGAGTTCCCCTGTACGAACCCCCAAATCACTCCTAGAAGGCCGCGTGGCTGATGGTATATTGTAAAATGTGTTTTTTTGTAATGCGGATGGAGTTAAGATTCGGAAGTTTATTTCTCGAGTGAAGCCTTATTGAGGCTCCAAAATTAAAATTAAGATCTTATTGAGGCGTGTTGTCCGCATATTCATGCTGATCTTAAAGGTGCATTGAAAAATGTTGATACTCCGACTGATGCTCCTGCTGTTGTGGAGTGACTCATGCAGCCAGCTATGGCTGCAGGGTTTGGCGGTACATGTTGTTTATGTCATTTATTGTGAAAATTCGGTCACAGTTCCTATGATCACTGTTTCATTGCTTGTATGGTTTGGCCATGTTTGTTTGTTGTAGTACAGAGTTAGACTGATGGCCTTAATCTAAGTTGTCTTGTGGTTGTTATTGTTGTTTGACTTGCATCCCACTGAGATGTTTGCACACAGTGTTGGTGTACGGTGCTTTTTCTGCAATATTTTGCTGTCTTTTATTGGATTTTCTGTTTGCACATAGTCACTTTAAGATGTTTTCTTGTTCATATTTTTGTTTGTTGCGGTTGCACCCGATTCAAGAGCCGAATGGCTCACAGGGCTATACCTAATACATTAACTTGAACTTGATTTACCACCAGGACTGCCCTCAATAACGAATATTAAAATTGCTCCGCCAACGTAATTATTTACTCACAGAGCAATTACAGCTGTCATTTTACATCGCGTCTGGCACCCCCCCCCCCTCTTCAGCGTCAGACAAATGAGCGTGGAGGGGCTGCGAGGAACAAGAGCGCCTTGGGATGCGCTCTGTGGACTTGGCAAATCGTTTGCGATTCGAATGTTCACACGGGGGGGGGGGCGATGGCGTTGGTAGTTGCGGTGGTGGCTCCTAACCACCGCTAGAAGCTGCTGCTTCATCGGGGAGGGGATATCCCTATCAACCCATACGGTTTATTAAATTTACCCCGTATTCTTGTACAGGGAAATAGAGTTTTCAGGTCCATACGGCGTAAAGCCGTTTCAATACGGGCAAAAAAATGTATCATAGGGTCAAATAAAGTAAGTGTGTTGTTGAACTCTTAATTTTCTGTGTTTATTTTTGTACATTTACTAAATGTGAATCCACATAGCAAGCAAGCATCAGCATGCAAGATCACAGATAGTAAGCATAAGTAGCATCATTGACACCAATTATCAAAATGAATCCATACAACTGTTATTGTTTAGTAACGTAACTTTGTCTATGTTTCTCCCTTGGGATGGGACTTACTTAGTAGGATGAACGTTGAGATTTTTAGAAGGGCATCGGGTGAACAATAAGGTCTAATAATATCGTTTTTTTTGTTTAGATCGCATAAATATATAAATGTGTCGTTAAACAGAACAGGCCAAATTCGTTACTAGTACAGCACACCAATGTGTTGAAGAGCAAAGCCACAACATTCACAATCTGGGTACGCCGTTTCGCCAGTAATTACAACTAGCAACCATTTACGCGTTAAATAATGTCTGAATTGGTCTGTAATAAGATAGGCAGTGATAATTGGTTCTTTACCCTTCTATCTGGCAACAAAACTGACACCTTTTTGCAAGGAGTCATGTTTGCATAGACCGCAATACCTGCAGTCATAAATACAAACAAAAGACATAACTCTGATAATGTGCACTGTCCTATCAGAGTTATGTCTTTTGTTTGTATTTATGACTGCAGGTATTGCGGTCTATGCAAACATGACTCCTTGCAAAAAGGTGTCAGTTTTGTTGCCAGATAGAAGGGTAAAGAACCAATTATCATATTTTTACTGGCAAATGAGGTCCCCATAGTGAAGATAGGCAGTGATAAGGGATTGACAGGCGTGGGTATGCCCTGATGTTAAAGACCCATCACTGCTTCATGCCCCCCGACACAAAAACCATCGGTGGCCAGAGGGCTGGCGTGGAACTTTTCTCTGGAGCAGAGACGTGGACGTGGACATGAGAAATGGATACAAAGTCTAAAAAGTACCCAAAGAAGCATGGTGAGGTGCACGGTGGGAATTACAAATACTCGAGCTGCACCGTAGCCATGGTGGGGGGGGGGGGGGGGGGGTCACATTGTGGGACCGTGAGCGGGTGGCGACGGTTGTGGGGGGGGACCCTCATCCACCAGTGGATTGCTCATGGCTGAATTCATTATGATCAACGATAGAAAGGTAAAGGTTGCAGCCCTGCGATTCCTTGCTCACACCACGGAGGGAGCTCCTCGAGAGGGAGCTCTAGAGGTGGACCCTGACCTCCGTTCGGCCAACTGCGGTGCGCCCATTTATTGCACTAATTGATACCTGATAATTGTTTTTTTACCCTTCTATCTGGCAACAAAACTGACACCTTTTTTACAAGGAGTCATGTTTGCATAGACCACAATACCTGCAGTCATAATGCAAACAAAAAACATAACTCTGATATTGTATGCACTGTCCTTGAAGTTGATTGGTCCACACCCGAGACAGCTTTCCTTAAGGAAAAAAAGGTGTTAGTTTTGTTGCCAGATAGAAGGGTAAAAAAAACAATTATATTTTTTACTGGCAAATGAGGTTCCAATGGTGTAATTGATACCTGTCAACCTCTTATCATTGCCTGCCTGATTACAGACCAATTCAGACCTTATTGGTCACCCCGTGCCCTTATAAATCTCAACTTTCATCCAACAGAGTCCCATCACAAGGGAGAAACACAAACAGTATTGAAACGGCTGTACGCGTATGGACCTGAAAACTCAATTTCCCTGTACAAGAATACGGGGTAAACCGTATGGGTTGACAGGTATGCTAAATGATCCCACCGAGCCAGCTATGATTAACCCTCGTGTTGCGGTTGTAACGTTGCCACCCCCGTCTCCGTGCAGGGCGCTGGACGGCACCGAGGTGGACGACTTCTGCCGTCGCCTCGCCGCTGCGCTGGTGGCACG